GCACCCGGCGGTCCGCCCTTCTTCAGGACCCCCTCCCCAAATGGCAGTCGGGGAACGGGATGGGAAAAAAAAAAAAAAAAAAGCTCTTATCACGTTTCAGTTCCCTTTCAACCTGCTGCGTTAAACTCTTGTCCTGTTCACACAACTTTGGCCATTCTTCATCAAAAAGTGATTCAAAGCAGATTTTTTCAGTCGTAGACCTTTTTTCCTCCTGACTTAAAAACACAAATCTTACATTTAAAAAACGACCTTATTTGTGTTAACCTTCAAATTAAACAGGAAGTTAAATCACACAGTTCAGTTGCAGTGATTCCACACATTTAATGCAGGGACACGTTGGCCTGTTCGTTACAACACAGTAGTGTTTGTTTCAACCATCTGTTCAAAAATGTCTCAAGCTTTGATTAGAAGTAGAAAACAAATCAAGGAGAAGGTTAAGACCTATTATCATTGCCTCCGGTGACTATAAAAAAATCACAACAGTTTTAATTAAAAATAACATTAAAGTTAAATAAATAATCCATCTGCGTGGTTAAAGTATTAAAAGGAAGACATCTCATGTTAAAGGAAAAGGACAGAGATAATCAACTCTTCAGGTGTGGTCCTTATTTGGCAAGAGAAGGAACAGTTTTCCTGTTTGACTACAACAAAAAGCACACAATGACTGCAGTCACAGTTAAAACATTCAGATTTATCAAGTTCTAAAAAAACCAGAGGAGGAAGAGGACTTGGTCCAAAGTGTCTAAAGTTCAGGGGTAGCAGCTGAGGTGAGAGGAAGAATTAGCTGAAATAGCTAAAAGCTACATTTTGTCAGTGTTCATTAATCAAAACCTTCTCACGTGGTTACATTTCTCTTCCTGTGCAAACCTTTTCTTAGAAAGATGCCTGAGAAGATTACAGTTTGTGCACCAGGTTCTTGTACCGTTTAATGTGTAGCAGAAATCCAATAAACCCTAAAAGCATGTCAGTGCAGACAGCTGGTGTTGTACTGGAAAGAAGCCATGTGGATCTGGTTCCGCAGCCTCTGGACCTCCAGCTCCTGGAAGTGGTCGTCTTCGTCGTTCCGAATGATGATTTCCTGCAGCTGGTTGATCTCGCGCTCCATCCGGGATCGCAGCTCTCGCTTCATCTTTTGCAGAGCCTGGGGAAGAGACCCACGGTGGGTTAGGTACTTTAAATTTGCACTGAAAATCACGAGCGCCCTCTGCAGGGCTGTAAGACAAACTACTTAAAACATTTCATCCCACTCTGATGGATCAAGTGGTGACAGCATTAAAATGTTCTTTAGAATTTAAAAGAAGACGGGCAGACCTTTTCTTGAGCCTGTTTCCGAACCTGGATCTCCTCCCGCTCTTGTGCCAGTTTTTCAGCAAGCAGTGAAAACTGAAACACAGAATATGTTTCATTCCCTCTACAAACAACTCCTAACATTTAGTCTGCACAAATGCAGCTGACTGTGTCTCACTTGGTCTTTATAGTAGTTTTCCAAGGACTCCATCTGATCCTGGTGTCGTCTCTGATGCTCCAGCTGCTGCTCCCGGGCCGAAGCTCTCTGCTCTCTCAGCCGGAGCTTCTGCAACTCCAAACCTTCCTCAAACAGCTGCCTAAACATCTGCAGACACAAGCATGTTTAACACACAGGCAGGGTGATGATCTAGCACGGGTGGTCTTTACTACCCACCCGCTCCTCTTTAGTGCGAGCCTTCATCAGCCGGGCACGGTGTTGGACGTGATACTCGTTGTGGTACTTCTTGGCCCGGGCTATCTGCTGCCTCTGCTCCCGCAGTTTGTTCTGCACCGACCTCTGCTGCTGGATCCGATCTTTAAACTCCCTCTGGAATGATGTGGGGGGAGGAGTTTAGCTTGTAATCAGATAAAACCCGCAGTGAGTCACGTAAATCTATGATTTAACTGTTTTTAAACTCTAACTTAGTTTTGTTTTATTAAAGGGATCCATGATTAGTTGTAACATTAGACTTTATTTAATAAACACACATTTTAACTGTAAAAATACTGTAGGCTGTTTAGTTTTTATAATTTTTAAACTAAAAGTTTAAAAATATATTACACGGACGGGGCCATTTCATTTACATGCAAAGCATTCTGGGTAAATGATGACTTGGATAGGTCATCGGTGCGAGGCTGCTAGCGAGCTATATCCACCCTGAAGGTTAATCTTTGACAATATCTGATGATTGACTTTTTTAAAAGGTACAGTGTGTAGGATTTGTTGTTTTCAGCGACATCTAGTGGTTGAATCATCCTCCCTGGGCCTCCCCCCGCTTCCAAACGCAAAGGTGTTGCTACGGTGTCTCTCAGGTGTCAAAAATCTTTGATAATTCCAACCGCGATGTCTACCAGCAGCTTCAGGGCTAGTGATGTTTCAAGTGGTAAGATAATGAGCTTTAATAAGTAAAATTATCCCAGCTACAATGACAGACAAC